ACACAGTATCGACACAGTATCAATACAGTGTTGCTATGAGTCGAAACGCCTCATGACGCCTCATTTACCCATCACTACTTTCTATTTCAACCAATTAACACCAAGTGTATTTTTTTTAACTTACGACGTTGACTTCAATAACATTAAAATACAACAATCAATCAGAGTCCATGTGCTACCAGCACTGTTTGCTTCTCATGCTGTGGCATTTTTTCAAACAGGAGTGACAGGTCAGTCACACCAAAAGTACCTGCGCTCTCTCTGATTGCTGGGAGATTGAGTCCACCTGGTTCTCATCACTAACAAGCAGAAAAGCTGCAGAAAGATGCAGCAGAGGGGAGTGGCTACTTGGCAGTTCGGTGGAACATGTACGATGGGAAGACTTTTCCTGTGTCATGAAAATGCATTACTCCTGTTGTGTTAGTGTTGCTCACCTGTTTTATATGCATAATAAAGCATGGTGAAGAAAACACATTGATTCTGCTTAAATTGTTTATATCAGATAGAAAAAGATAAAGTATATATAACAACCCTGTAGTGACTTGTAAGACGGGGTCGGGGTGTCAGTGGGTAATGGAGTTTGAAGTTTACAGGGTTGTCCTTGTACACAGCATGCATTGTACTTTTTTCATGAACATTCTTTAAACTCAAGACACATTTGCAAGACGTTGCAGTCGTACCGTCCTTCACAAAGATACCAAGACACTGAGACTGCGCTGCTTTAAGCAGAGGCTGAACCTCCAATCTGCAGGGAGCAGTCAAGCTTTTACTAGTTGAGAACCAAGTCTTCAGAGGTGCTGTCTCTCATCCCAACTGCTTCAAAGTGGGAACTGCTCCAGTCCAACTGGAGGGTTGTGTCCTTAAGACGCCAACAGAATATCATCCACAAAAAGTAAAGAAGAGACCCTCAAGTTCCCGATGCAGAGACTCTCCTCCTTCTGGGACACTAGTTAGGATGCTTCTTCACCAAGGAGGCATCGCAAGCCACCTCAACCAGCTCCTTTTGATGCAGAGAACTTTGAGGCACTCTCGGATAACCCTGCAGAGGAAACTCATTTCAGGAGCCTGTATGCATGATTACGTTCTTTCGGTCACTACCCAAAGTTTATGATTGTAGATGCATGTAAGAACGGAGATCGACTGGTAAATTGAGACCTTTGCCTTTTGACCCACCTCTCTCTTCACCACAACAGATCAGTACAGCACTGAACTGCCCATCGATCTCACGCTGCACTTTTCCCTCAGTACTGAACAAGATCCAGAGATACATAAACATCTCCACTTAGGGCAGGACCTCTACACCAACCCAGAGAAGGCATTCCACCCTTTGGAGGGACTGATCCTCAGACAAGGCACAGCCCCAAAGACCCCTCATGATGATTGTCACCAATGGAAACAGAGTTCCCTCTCTCAGTTGCTGGCATTTCAGCCATGTAAATCTGGGTACAGCCTGAAGACAAGACTTGGGCGGGATACATGTATTTGACAGATTTTTTATTTTTTTTTGACTATATGAAATATATGAACGTAGCTCATTCTGCCATCCTGCTTTACTGTAAAAAATTAAATAAATGAAAGTTGCCAAAGAAAGACTTTGGCACCAGGATGGGAGTCTAATGTTTACAAATCTAAAAAAAAAAAAACATGTTTGATTCCACCATAATTCTGATCCTTAGACATATGACTCAAAGGAAAAGGGCTTTATTGGAGCAGGGGGTTTTTGAGTCAGCAGGTTGGTTTACTGTTTAATCCCCATAAGCCTGTATTAATCTGAGCCTGGTACGTTCTGCATTGTGAATCTAAAGCTACATTCTGTCAACAGTTGCACAACCCTGGAATGTGAGAGGAACGACAATGACTGATGAGCAATGTGCCGTCTGCGAAAAATTCATCAACAGCGATGGCAGATACTCACAAAAAAATGTCAATAAACATTTACTAGAATATGAAACCATATGTTATTGTTTTATTCATAAAAATATGTACCAGACATGAGGCATTTCTGTACTCCAGGTTACAGACCACAAAGTCAGTTTCAGAAAGAAGAAGAATAAATTATTTTATTTATAATGCCCCTTTCATCAAATTGAGATCTTAAAGATCATATTTACATGCTGGTGATGGTAAGCTACTGGACTGTAGCCACAGCTGCCCTGTGGCAGTCCGACAGCAGCGAGGCTGCCTTCATGACCACCACCAACAAGGTGGGTGAAGCGACATGCTCAAGGACACCCAGATACATGTAGATCTCTTTTTGTTTAGAAAAACATATCTAATACATGCATTACTGTCATTCATTTCATTCAATATTTGTTGCAAATCTTAAAAAAAAACACACTTAAAGTAGAAAAATTAAATAAACATCTTTTAAATTGTACATGGCTTTGACAGATGGTATACATTTCCTTTCTTTCAACACTATTACACACTGCGGTATGGCTTTCAACCACTTCCCTGTAGTATTAGTTCCCAGTGTCACAAATACTGTAGTTACTGCCGGAGAGAGCCGGTTCCCTGTGGTTATACACTGTATATATGTGACTATATGAAAGAATGTCATCATCAGGCCGTTTCATCATCAGAGTGCGTGCTTGTTGCTCTTTCCCATCTCGCAGTCCATTAGGTCATTAGCGCTGCTGACGGAGACAACGCGGTTCTGGCCAAAGTCGTATTTATATTGCTTGTTTCCCTTGAAGAAGTTCACAAATCCTGCAGGAAATCAAGAGTCGATGATGAGGTTCAGACAGAGTGCTTCAAAAGGTATTCACAAACTTTGCTCTAAAGCAAAGCTTGGTTATAAAATAATATCTGAAGCAGCTACTAGGGTTCTGTTTAATTCATCGTCTGAACATGAAGACGTATGACACAACTGCAGCCCAAATACGGCTGTCTACCTAATCTGACATGTCATGTAAAGAAAGCACTAATCAGAGCAAAAGAAACCCATGATCACTCTGGGGGAGCTGCAGAGATCCAGAGCTGACAAAAGAGACAGGTCACAGGACAAGAATCATTCAAACACTCCATAAATTTGGACTTTATGGAAGAGTAACAGCAACAGAGCATTTATTGAAAGAAACTTAAATCCAACTTTAAATGTGTGGCAACATGTGAACATTTATGTCCACCCAAACTCACTGAGATTGAGCTGTTGTGGAAAGAGGAGTTTGACGTTGTCTATAGCTGTAAAGCTGGTAGAAACAAGACTTGCTGTAGGTTTCAGATGTTATTTGTAAAAATATTTTAAATTCTTCTACCATTTTATTCCCGCCAGGTAAATTATCCACTATAAATAATACATAATCTTTGAAATAAATCAGTGGGTATGAATGTTTTTGCAAGACTCTGTATGTAATAGTTCTCATTGAAAATGACTGTAACAAATGTAGGTTTAATGTTATTGACCTGAAGCTGACTGTGCCACTAGGAGAGATGTTTTTGGACATTCTTCATGGTTTATACCATGCTTGAAAAACAGCTATTGACAGATGATAACACAGATCTGTAGGTTTATATCTTGAAGACAGATTCTGAGTTAAAAAAAAAACTGCAACAAAATTTTCAAAGTGATGACTGAAAAGTCAAAATCCAACCTTAAATTAAAGTGGAAAATAATCACGGATTTTACCCCCCCGCCCCCCCAAAAAATGCTAATTTCAAAAACAACTGAAATCTCATTCCCTGTGCATTTTGTTTCTGTAAAGCCACAAAAAACAAAAAGAAGAGATTATTTAACTACCCTCGTAGTAGACAGCAGCGTCTATAGGGAATGGGATTTCCAGCCAGTGTTGCTCGATGAGCATTGGTGATCCCTCCATCACGGCCCGCAATTCATTGTACCTAAATATGACACACATTTGAGTAAACAGATGTTATTTTCCTCTTGGCTTCATTGAGTAACAAAATGATACACTGTGTGAGTCAACCTATTCTTCTGCATTCACATGGGAAAAAACTGTTGCTCTCTTGTTTCATCAGAACAGAAAAGGAAGCAGAACATCAGGTCTACTCTGTACCCAATATCAGAGTTCGTCAGAATGCTGATGGATACCCAGACATCTGCAAGATTTGGTGATGTTTTCTTTGCGACATGCATTTAGTTTCACTCAATCAGCATTTACAGAGCAATTTTGACAGAAGAGGCATTCTGGGACAGATGAGACAAGGCAATAAAACCCATCAACTTTATCCGTTTGTTTCTGGGGGGAAAGTCCTGAACGGAAACCCAGATATTTCTGTCCCCAGCAGGCAGCAACATCCTCCAGATCATTCTTGAAGATCTAAAGGTGTTCCCAGGTCAGATGGGATAATCCTTAGTTCTGCATCTCCTCCCAGTGGGACACTTCCAAAAGCAGTCGACCAGGGAGAATCCTGATCAAATGCTCAAAACATCTCAACTGATTCCTTTTGATCCGTCTCTATGGGTGTTTTCTCACCTGATAGGGACCAAAGTTGCAATATTTGCTACATTTTCAGCTGGTGTGGTTCACTTTCACACTGCTCTGTGTCAAACAATCCAAAGCAGTTGAAAAAAATCTGTTCCCTGTCTCACTTGTGGTGGCGCTGCACCAAGAACCACTGAAGGAAACAACATGAAAAACCTCCAAAGAAGACATGAGCGCAACTTCACAAAATGTAAAACAAAAATGGAATGGTGTCAGATTTTAGAGGTTATAGGATTTCTCTTTGATCTTTGGCAAAAGATAACAAGCCATCTCTTCCTCTAGCACTAGTATCTTGTGTTTTGGCTTTACTTAACCAGAATTCCTCGTATTATAGTCTACTTCCTGTTTTTGGAGCAGTCCTCAGTCCGCTTGGTGTTCACATGTACATTTGTACTTAAACCAAACTGAGACCTAGGGTTTTAGTTGGACCAGAGTTCGCTTTTTTGGTCCACATCAGAGTTTGATTAAGTATTCACACCTCCCCAATGAACCAGACTGTCTATGAAAAATTTTATTAGAGTTTGACTAGAGCTGAATTCAGTCCAGCCACCTTCCAGTGGGAGTTTCTTTTGGCCACTTATATCCAGGATCTTGTTTTCTATAATCATAGGTGAGGGTTGGAATATAGACAGATTGGAACCTGGATTATTTTCAGATGTCCATCTCCCATTCCTTCCTGCAGTATATTGTTGCTTTTAGATAAGATATGCGACTGGATTCTATGTTGATTTAATTTAATGGAAGAACTCTTCTTCATTTGTCCCAGCATGACACAAATAGCCAAATCACAGAAAAAGATGGGGAATGCAAGAATGTGACCAACCTCCAACACTCATGGCCGGTGAAGAACACGGTGTAGCGATCGTCTCTGAAGTGCAGAGCAGCATCCACCGACTTTATTCTGGAGGGGAAGCCCAGGTCTGAGATGTTTCTGGGAAAACCTTCCTGTAGAATCAACTGCTGCACTTTCCAGTACTGATCACCTGCAAGAAAAATACTTTTTTTTTTCTCCTTCTTCAAAACCATCACATAAACACTTCATGTGTGCTTGTAGTTCAGGTGAGACTCATTTTAAAACTCCTGTAGAGCTTCTGTCTAGAGTCCTCATTCCATCATCTATTACCTTTGAAAAATAAAATAAAGTTTTTCTCCACGTTCTCATACACGGCATCCAGGTGAGACGGTACAGAGTTTGACCACAGGTTGCTGATGAGGGTGATGCGCGTTTCAACAAAACTGGGATGTTTTCGCCACATGAATCTGTAAAGTCAGAAAGCTCTGAAGTAAACCAATGATCTTCAACAGAAAAAAAAGCACACTCTTGAGGAAACACACCTGTCTTTGAAAAACACCACCTCCTGTTGTAATTCGGTCACAGCATCAAAGGACAGATCTGGATCGCATTTGTCAGGGGTTTTCGGTGGAGGCCTTTTTAGTGACTGTAGATGGAAGTTGGGGTTTTCACCTGAGGCAACAAAAGAAAACAGCATAAAGGTAGAAGAACTGTCTTATCCCAACCCGGTGGAACCACTGTTTACGGAGCTGTGCAAAAGATATCACTGAGTCACATCACTGAATAACAGCCTCGTTCGTTCAGTAGGACTGTAAATGCCTCGTTCAAGACTTGCCATGGGAGATTAAAGTATTCCTCAAACATGCATGGAAGAATCAAGGCCACATTCCAGGGATTTTTTTTTTTTTTTGTTTTTTATGAGGGAATAACATTATAATATGATGTACGCCTCACAAAAAGTTGATTTTACACGATATTGCCCCTTTTCTGGCTGTAAACAGATGTGTGTGCAGTATAAGAGAGTGAAAAACCTGTGTCTGCATCATGACTGGACAGAATTTATTTATTTTTTTGCTGTTTTTGAAGTGCAGACAGCAGCAAGCGGCAAGCCTGGAGGCGGTGATGCAAGTTCCGTCACACAATTGCAAATGACAGAGAGCACGAAATGGTCGTCATTTCGGCTGAATCGATTTCTTGTTTGATTGTAATTGTCATTGCTGGGTATGTCTGTGGTGAGGAGCGGTGTCAGCGGGTCGAGGTCGGAAGAAAAATATGATGAGCGTGAAATAAACTTTGAAAAGCTTTTGACCATATGTTGCCTTCAGGCTAAGTGACGGCTTGTAGCGAGGTAGCAAACGACTCTTCAACAGTGTGAAGTCATTTTCACACTTTTTCATCATCGTTCACAACTTCTTCTTTTCGCCGTCTGGCCCAGTTGAAATTCTGCTGGAGGAATCCAGCACAATGGGAGAAATCTCAGATGAGGTACTGAAGGGAGATTGGAATTGAGCGGAATTGTGTTGGAAAGCAAAGGCTGAGCTACAAGAAACTAGGATTTTTGGGAAAGTTGATCAAATTATGGACAATATTCATTGCTAGTGAACCTCCAGGTCCACCTCCTAATCTGGATTCACCAAAGGAGCAATGTTCTGATGAAACCCGAATGAAGAGTTTCAGAAAGAGCAGGAGACTTTTTTAAAGAGACAGAGACAATTTCAAGGCGTCAAATTATGAAGTCAGATTTCTTTTACAGTTACTTGATTGTGCATTATAATGACAGTTTGTGGAAAATACATAGTACTGCCTCTTTTAAAAGAAGAACCAAATATGAATGAAAATCTATGTGTTCACCTGAAGAATGCTGTGGACGAGAAACAAACAGAAATTCAATCTGATGGCTTTGGAGAATTTTCTACGGCCGAACGCAAGAGGTGGGATGTAGATCATATGACTGACTCGCTGAGAAGTGACTTCTCACAGCCCACACAACATAAGGCTTAGGATTCACGCTCACCGTAAAGGTGCTGGATGCTCTTCACGTCGTCAAAGGAGAGCTCCAAACTGGGTGCAAAGTTGTAAGCCGGGTACATGATGGATCCGGGGTCAGGTGAGTGGGAGAGACCAAGAGCATGGCCGAATTCGTGAGCTGCAACAACAGGCAGGCTGATACCTGAAGCGGGATGACGGGTCACACACATTCAGAATCAGAACAAAAACCTCACAGAAACCCAGAGGAATGACAGGAGTTGGATGAGCGAACAGCAGGATTCTAGCGTTTAACTCCTTTTTAAAATCCCGTACCAGTAGAATTTAAGGTCCATTCCTCCGCAGAGTCAAAGTGCACGTCTCCTCCGATTCCCAAACCAGGGAGGAAGGCGTGAGCCAGAGCTCCCCCTTTGCCAGAGAAAGGAGATCCATCGCCGTGGTCTGCTGAAAACACAGCCGTGTCATCAATCTAGATGATAGGCGTTTTTTAATCATCCGGGCTCGACACAAAGCTCACCTCCGCTGACAAAAGCAATGCTAACGTCAGCCTCTTTTGCTTCCCTCCTGCGGAATCTAATGAGGGAAACGCTGGACCACAGCTTCAGCGCTGTCCTGATGGCTTTGAGAGTCCTACTGGCTGGGAAAGGCAGATTTTCACCAGCAATCCTGCAGAGACACATTTTTCCTTTAATTTATATAAAGTCATGTGAAATAGCTAAAGTATTTAATCAACATAAAGAAGAGTTAAATATCCTTCAGGTCTGCTGTCACAGGCTTGATTAACGCGTCTGAGCGGACTTTCTCAACTTCTAAAGCTTCTCTTCTCTTACATGTATTCTTGTAGCAACAGTTTCATACATCTGAGATGTTACTTTTAAACATGTGACAAGCTTTTCAAACTGATGCCACAGGGAGCTACTCCATTTGTAGGCCTGTAGCCTCTGCCTTGCCTGTCCATGGTGTACGAGTTGTGCACACACCAAAATGAAAACTTCCCTAACTGTTCCTTTATTGTTGTTGGAGGAGAATTTTCTTTTAAAACTAAACATTAGCATCTTTGTTTTGATGTTGTTATTCTTTCTGGGGATTGCATGTCATTATTTATCATCTTATAAAGACTCACTCTTCCTATGACAAGTTTGATTCTTTAATGTCTTTTTGTTTTTATCCCTCTGAAAATTTGTAGAAACGCCGCTTATGATGATTAGTGCGTTATTTTCTTTAAAAAGTACAAAACGTGTTGGCAGGCAGCTCCAGGATACATAGGACAGTCTTCGAGAACAAGAGGCTGCTACAAATGTTTTCAGTAAATCTGTTAAGTTTGTGCGATTAATGCAGGAAATTTGTCACATAACTTTTACCTCACTTCCGTTCTAAAATTCTGTAGTAATGACTCAGCGACATTGCTACGTAATGTTGTGCCCTATGCAAGCGTACCATCTGCACATATGACGCAAGAGGCATTACCACATATGGCTTGCCTGACGCTCGAGGCGGCACGACAAGGGATTTATGTTCTGCAGCCGCTGGTTCTGCTGTCGGTGTCAGAGTTAAGTGGCGGTTTACAATTTGCTGACAGCTTTGGTGTTGTAAACGGGTGCATGTGTAGGCAGTGTGTCTGATATGATACACAGCCTGAGTGGCATCTGGGTCGACAGAATAGACCCAAATAATTAGAATTACGGAAATAAGTTTTCTTAATGGAATCGTGCCAATTAAAAAAAAAAAAAAAGAAACAAACAAACAAAAAAAAAAACTTTTTTGAGCTATGATGAGGGAGTTCTTCGACTGTGTCAAAATCTGCGTATTTCAAAACGCTGAAATGGAAATACCCCCATCAGACGAGTCATGTGATGTATGTATGTAACCTTTATTCAACCATGCATGTCTCACTGATATTAAAAATCTCTTCTTCAAGAGAGGCCTGGCCAGGACCGGCAGCAAATAAATATGTAAATGTCTTATTTCTAGAGATTTAATTTAGTCGACGTTTTTATGTGCATACAGAAAGTGAGTATTTTCTTTTCTCCACGTCTTTAATTAGCAGCGATACGGCCTGCAATGCTTTAACAGCTGGGTGGTCTGAAACAAGATCTCTCTCTCTCTCTCTCTCTCTCTCTCTCTCTTGTTGGTGGTTAAAGAAATGGGAATCCGTGTCCTCCAACCAAAGTCTAAGAAAATATTGTTTTTGAAAAGTAAGTAAAAAGATGGAGTTCTGCTCAATCCTGTCTGATTTATTTTTTATGGCGTATGTCTTTGTGCAGCATTACATCTTCACTTGTCGTTTTTCTCCCACTTTGAATTCAGTTGAGAAAGAAAACCACTTTGTTTCGGTTAGGAGCCAAAAGTTTTAGATTAAACTTGATGGATGCTTCACTTAATGCAGAGCCTATGATCGTCTTTGTGGGACGTGTGTAAGAAGTTGTCTTCCTTACAGTAAGATTAATCTCCTGCCTAATCAGGCGTGTCGAAACTTTTTAAGAAATGTGCACAAGTGACTGGTAATTTCCATATTTTATTAGGAAAACGGGGGTTACACTTCAAACTTTGACTTAAATTCAAAATTGGTTGTATTTTGCGTCAACTAGTATAAATCCCACAAAATACACTGTAAAAATATGTTCCTGTGGACTAAGCTTTTATAATCACATGCTAGCTTGTGAGCTCTCATCTCACCTGTAACTGATGGTCCGTTTTGTCCACCTCACTGTGGCCCCGTGAGGCTCCACGTCCGACAGCCCACAGCGTGGCTTCTTCATCACAGTCAGAGTCTCCTGACTGAGTTTTCCGTCTGGAGTCAAGCCAAAGAAACGCTGCATTTTCTTCACCTTATCGCAGAATCCCCTTGTCTGATGCGAGTCATCTCTGGAGGCCGCCGCCCGTTTTCGTCTGTCTGGCTCGGGCTGGTAACCATAGAAGTGGTGCAGATATTCCTGTGGAAAACAACGCGGATTACACCAGTGACACGAAGACAAACTCTGTCGTACCTGAGCAAAAGAAAAACGCCACATTACCCTGCTTCTGTCTGAGCAAACTATAAATGTATAAAGTTTTATTTTAAGGCAAAACTAAGAGGGCGATGCAGTGCTCTGTTAACGTATTCAGACTTTTGTTCTCATTTATTGTCCTCTAGTCTATTTTTGTGATGGTAAAGTGGAACCGGTGGGACTAAATACACTAGGAGGGTAACGAGACACAGCTGGGATGTATCAAGACAGGGAGGACAGAACATCACAGAGACTCACAGGGAAACAGGATCACAATAAACACAGAAAAAACCCAAAAATAAACGCAGAAAACTACGGATCACAACAGTAGTGCTTGGAAAAAAAAGAGAGAAAAAAAAATCAGTTTCGTGTTTTTAACTGAGCGGATCAACTTTCTTTCAGTAATATTTTTCTCCATACCACTCTTCCATTTTGTGCATAGATTACCCTGGACTTCATATTATAGATTTTGAATTTTCTTTTTGGATTGTAGGCCAGTTCATTTCATAACACCAACTAGGTTCTGGGACATTCTCAATCAGGCCTGGATGTTTTAGGAAACAGGAAATGTTATGTCTTTGACATAAAATCCCAATTAAATACTGTATTGTTATTCTAGAGTGGGAAAGTATCGCAAGGTACTCTATGAACTAAACATGTTTTTTCCAACACATTTTTCTTATCTTGATCAAGATGAGGTCTGGTCGATGTGAGGCCGCAATGAAACCACATCCTTGGAAATTCTGTGTTTTGAAGGCAGTGTTTATGTGACTCAGCAGTGTGTAATGACTCGTGTTTAAACTCATGTGGACAGTAAACATTCCAGATGTGTTTTTTTTTTTTTGTACATTAAATGACAGCATGCTGCAGAAACTTTGCTACAAACATGTAATTGTAGGTGTCAGGGTTATCGGCTGCTAAAACTCCTTCCTACAGCATTTCTACTGATTTGTAAATACATGCAGCTTTTTTTTTCAGCCTGCAGGTATTTTGTCAAAATAACTTAATGATTAAGGAACGTTAAAAATGATTCAATTTTAAACCATATTTGTTAAACCATATCTCTTAAAGTAAATAGTTAATTTCCTAAAACATGACCTTTTTTTCTGTTTATGTCTTTGTTGACTCATTTTAAGTTTAGTAACTTAGTAAAAGTTAAGAACTCTCAGAAACTTGTGGGTGAGAAAGTTTTTGTGCAAGAACTGAAGTTTGTGTTCAGCTGTGGAGAGACTGTTGAAGCTAAAGTGAAACTTAAACGCAAGCTGAGCAAACTAGTAAACATTCTGGGGACGTCATAAACAGTTTCCTGCTGATTTTACGCCCAAAGGTCTGCGTGAGTCTCCACAAAATCTGGTGGCGTAAGATGGGGTAAAGATTGGACCAATCCGATTGGACTTCAGTCACACAAACATGTTTGAATTTCTGGAAGTGGATTTGATCCCAGTTGGACACAGAGAACTGATCATCAAAACCAATGGCGAATATTTGTTCCTGACAGCCAATGAAAAGAGAGGCTGGGATCACAGCAACAGCTGCAAAAATAACAACGGCACACTCGGGTAAAACATTTCTGAACAAAACAATTTCCACATGCCACAAAACCACGCATTATACATTCTTAACGTTAATTGCCAGGATCCAGTCCTAACATGAGATTGCCATGTGTTAAGACAGAAATAATAATGTGTTTAAATTAAAACATAACGTTGGAAGTCATTCCAAATCCCACAAACATTCCCGCCACATCAAATACATGTTGCAACCTCTCACCACGAGCACAACACAGAACACAGCTCTACGCAAATCACGCTCACTTGAAAAACCTTTGACTTTCCCATCTTTCTGTTTATGGAGGACGCAGAAAATATTATCAGCTAAATTGTGACAGTATCTTCAATTACTGTTGTGGGTAAAAGTAAAACACTTTTCCTGAGGGTTTGATGCTCATTTGACTGCAGTTGGTCTAAAACAGTGTTTCTCCACCCTGGTCCTCAGCACCCCCCTGCTCTGCATGTTTTAGATGTGCCTCTATTCCAGAACAGCTGATTCAAATGATTGCATGACCATCAAGTACTGCAGAAGCCTGTTACTCACCCAGAGATACAATTCAGGTGTGTGGCTGAAGGGAAATACCGAAAACATGCAAGACAGGGGGGGTGGTGAGGGCCAGGGTTGAGAAACACTGCTCTAAAATGTCCAACTGCAGCATGATGGATCACATGTAGTACGTAATCCATCAGCAAATCCAGTTTTTAAGGTTACGATCCCCAGTCTTCCAATCAGAAAACTGAATATTTTCAAAACCTGTCAAGAAGACTATGAAACTCGTGCAGTGCGCCTCCAGCTGTAGCTTCCTGCTTAGCTAGTTGCTCGGCTGGTTGTCAAGGAGATGCATTTCCTGCCAGCTTGTCAGAGTAGATTTACTATTCATTTTTACCATGGAGGGCAAAAATGAGTCAGATGACTTACTTTAACCTGTTGGTCTCAGGTTGTCATTCACACAGGGGTGTCAAACTCCAGTCCTCAAGGGCCGCTGTTCTGCAGTGGTTAGATGTGCCACAGGTAAAAAACAGTGGAATGAAATGGCTTAATTACCTCCTCCCTGTGTAGATCGGTTCTCCTGAGCCTTGCTAATGACCTAATTATTCTTTTCAGGTGTGGTGCAGCAGAGGCACATCTAAAAGTTGCAGGACAGAGGCCCTTGAGGACTGGAGTTTGACACCCCTGTCACGAGGACCCAAATTTGGGTCCTCTCGTGAATGACAGGTTAACCGATATCCGAAAAAGTTACAGGATACTGGTAGATTATTCAGGATTAAAGCATTAAAATGCATGGCAACATCCTGTTGCTTCAGAATCGTTGATTGTACAAATGTTTGTTCTTCCATTTAACTAAAAGAAAAGTTATTTTGTCTCTTCACCTAATGTTTGAGTCAAACATAAAACAGAATAAACAAAAACGCTGAGGCGCTCTGATTGGTGGAGCAAGGAGGACATAAGCCTTAATTAGCAGAAGGTGGTCATTTTCCCTGAGCTCTGCCCAGTCACGTTCTGTCTGGAGCTGAGGCGGGAAATGACTGACACAGGAAAAGTGCAAGGAAGGCATTGGAGTCAGGGAAACACAGCAAACACAATGACAAGACAATCTAAACACCAGAACCTGAAAATGTACAGAAATACGAGAATAATACGAAATTATACCGTAGCTCCTAAGCATCCTGACACATGGCTACTAGTGACACGAAGTCTAATGGGTTAAATTTGTTGTAAGAACATTACAGAATAAATGTAAGCATTAGCTATGGCAAGAATAATGTTGCACTTCTACAATTCTGAGGGATTGTGCTTTTTGAAAGACTCAGAAATGAACAAATGAAAGTTGTGTTGTTTTTACGTGATTTACAAAAAGAAACGATGCGGAGAAACAATGTTGAATAGACATTCAGCATTGTTTCTCCGTATCGGATCGATATCGGCCAGATACTAAATGTCTGATATGTGTATCGGTATTGGAAATAAAATAAATAAATAAATAAATAAATAAATAAATAAATAAATAAAAAACAGGGGATCACTGCATCCCTCAAGCAACTCGGTGTGGGGCTGTCTATATATTTTATCTGCTGTCACCACAAGACAGTGCTGACTTTGAAGACAAATCTCATCTCCCACTGCTGCTGATGCTGCTGTTGCCTCCTGCAGATGAGATCGAAGGCAGATTGGGGAATTGGCAGCCGTAAACAGGAAGAATCCCGTCTGCCAACATCACTGGACCACATTTTGCTTGAGGTGAAGCTTCACAAAGAGATTCCACCGAGATAAATTAGTTCTGTGATTATCATTCCAGAGTATGATATGGGTCTGTTCTACAATAACAAAACTCAAAAAGAGTGGGAGAGCCACAGAGAACATTTGAGATGTCAGCAGGTGAAATGTAACCAAATATAGTCACTTTTCATTATTAAAGAAAGAAAACAAAGATCAAATGAAATATGGCTAGATCTGTCGCCACTTTAATTTTTGAGAAGCTTTGTCTAAAAAAATATAAATAAAAATAAAGCAACTTTAAGAATCTTGCATGGAACATCACCACCTCCTGTGCTGCAAATCGCTCAGATTTGATCAGTTATATTTCAAAGAGGTCCAAAAATGACTCCCATCACCATAAACCTCACTATTGAAACACACACAAAACCCCCCCACTGCAGAACCAGCAGCATATAAACATGTTGATCCAGCAGGTAAAAAGTTTAATTTACCTCTGCAAACTTCTGGTCAGCCTCAGACGGTCCAGCTGGAGGTTGCGGAGGAGCGGCGGGGATGTGGAGGGGTGAAGCCCCCGCAGGACTCTGGTTGAGCTTCATGAGAGTCAGAAAAGTCATGCAGAGCAGGTTCATGTTGAGCAGGCAGGAGCGTCGGTGAGCGTATGGGCCGGCGCGGCGCAGCGGGGAGCAAAAAAAAAAAAAAAAAAAAAAAAAAAAAAAACACCTGCTAATTATGTGAGAATGCTCCTGTCTCGACAAGAACAGCAAGCAAGGTGGCTTTTCCTCTCCTCTCCTTAACGTGTCTTCAGGTGAAAGAGAAGACCCCTCTTCTCCAACCCCACCTTCCCAGAGGACAGGAGTCAGAGCCAACCGGGCTCAGCCTGAGCTTCACGTACTTTATCAACATTCCTGACTGTTTCCAGCCACCCTTATCTCCAGCGAGGTTCAAGGGAACCGCAGAGCTGCCTTAACCTGCAGGGGTGACACCTGCAGCAGAAAACACCACTGTTGGCTTTGACTGAAGAAGACAACAAGGATCCTGCAGAGATTACATTTGAAATCTTACAAATGTAGAATTTCTATCTGCGAGAGATAATCTCCCCATTTGGAGTTTGTGACAAAGAGCTGAAGATGTCTTGTGTCTTTTTCTTTCTTTTTATAAACATGGAAAGGTACACCAACAAATTCAGATTCACTAAAAAGGAAGGCTGGTGGTTCGAGTAAACAAGTGACAGTCTCACTTCTATGCTTTACAGATGAAAATATGCATCAAATTCATGAAACTCTCTCAACCGTATCATATTCGCCTCTTGACATTGGGTTAAAACTGTGATCAAGTTTGTTCCTTTAGATAAGAGGCCGCCCCACCTCAAGGTGCTGTACCGGTGGCATGACATGAGTCTCGTCTCTGGTCAAGATTCCAGGAAACTAGATAGAAAATTCATCCAAGAAGTTCATTTTGCACTTGTTTTCTTTCATCCATCTTTGTGTTCTGCCGTCCGTCTGCGTACCTGCTGCAGAGTCTGTTTGGCGTGATCTTATCGTTTATTCAGCTTTGCATTGTTGTCAGAATGATTCAGTTGCAAACTTCCCAGTAAGACCCTTACAGAAGGAAAACACATTCACCAATTTACAACCAACTGGGATATATATGCGTTTAAATATCCCAAAATGTTGTAACATATAAATTGCAGAAATAGTTCTGGTTTTCATATCAATATATCTATATTTTTTTACAGTCATACACACATATATGGTCAATGCTCATATTGAGAAAATACAAACATTAAATGGGAATACTTTGCTTACTGTTTGAAGCCATCTGATTGGCTCCTTTGGCTCCAAAAAGCTCTTCCCTCCTCAGCCGCAATGTCCCGCATTTAAGTCGATTTTAATGAGCTCTGTCTTTCGATGTATCCATTGGCAACACAAAAAGACAAAGATTTAAAACACATCTTCACCTCTTCCATATTTATCAGTCTGCAGGTTAGAATGATGATGCGATTTCCCAGCTTCACGTTCAAAATACTGACAGGACGGTTCCTTTATTTCAGGATAAAAAAAAAAAAGCAAACAAAAGAGTCTTCTTTAACATGAAAGCAATGTGAAGCATGACTGGTGTCAGTGTAACCGTCTCAGTAAAGCTTCCGTGGACCGATGAACACGATCCCAAACGTTCGTGGCCACGTTCGGCTACCGGAGCCCGTTTACAGGAGAGATCAGCCCGAGTTCGATAAACACCATAATGTTGACAGACATGAAAGTAATCTGTCTTCCTTTTCCTTTTTCACGTTCTGTTTCTTTAATATTGAGAACATTATCTATCAGAAAACAAAGAGGATTTTTTTTTTTTTTTTTTAATTGAAGCGTACCAAGGAGTGTCACGTTACAGCTGGAAAAGGAGCCGGGGTCAGAGGTCTTTGCAGGGCGAGTGTTTACTTAAAAAGACAAAACAAAAAATCAAAATGTGGATATAGAAGGGAAACAAGCAGTTAGAGGGAGGAACGTGACTTTAGCAGAGCGGCTTAGGCCTGTTCCACATGCACATTTTATGCATTTTTGCCTCTTATCCACACAAAAACTATTAAAACTATTATTTATTAAAATTTGGACCAAGATAGAAATTTGACAAAACCCCCTATTTGTGTTTACCTGGGAAAACAGAGATTTGGGGTCCTGTGCGTTACAGTCTGCGTCAAATAATGTGCCAAAATATCCACATACTCATCTGACATAATTCCCAACAACTCAACATTATCTTGTGTTTTAATAATTTCATATTCTAATTAGTGCTGTCAGTCGCATAAAGAATTTAATCCGATTAACCTGGCGCTGTGTTTAATCATGATTAATCACTATGTCTTTCTAAGCTTGAAATATAAATACGCACACAGTTGTGGGTTTTTTCAGGAATGGTGCCCTGGGCAACCGCCTCTTTCTGCGGCACTCCAAGCAATTAAAATGCAAACAATTATCTGTTTTCTTTTTTCTTTCTTCTTTTTTTTCCCTTTGCAGCAGCAGCTGCAAAAAGCTCCCTTTGCTGCTGTTACTCAACAGCAGCAAAACTTACTCCACTACCCAAGTAGTAGCAAACAAGTTCAGGGAACAACTGACTGATAAGATTTCATCATTTTCTAGTTCTTGGGTGGCCCACCCCTTTCTGATGTCGCCCTGGGCAACTGCCCATATTGCTGCCACTGTATGTGTGTTTTCAAAAAATGTTTTATTCTTTACTGAAAGATTCTCAGTTTTCCACGTTTTTATATCCAGGAAGTTTTAAAGGAAGTCGTGATTTAGAAATGTCCCTTCATTCATTTCCTATGGAACATGTGCGATGAAACGACAGTCACTTATCCTCGTCCAGCCAAGTGGCTGACTGGCATTATTCGTACGTGTGGATGTTAGACATCATACACATAGATGTGCACATGTGGGCTAGCTACAAGGAAAGCTGAAAATTGTTCAACTTTTGTCGTTTGCTGCTGCTGCTGCTGCAGAAAACGTTCACGTTTTGCTGTTCATCGCTCCCCATGTGTCGAGTTCATAATGCGTCGCTGTGAACTCACTCACCCTGCGCAGGAGAGAGGCGCTTAGCTCAAAATAGGTAGTTTGATTAATTTGCGTTATGTAATATTAACGCGTTCACAGCCCTAATTCTAATTCTGTATTTAATAGTATTTCACCCTATATGTCTGGCCACAGATTTGAAGCAATCTGATTGGCTGACATAGGTGCCAATCAGGTGCACTGCCCCCTATGGGTATGGCATGTTTACATCAACCCTCAGGGATGCCTTTGTGCTGGTATATATGGATGAAAACTGTTTCAGAAATCGATTCCATGTGTAAAATAATATATATATATATATATATATATATATATATATATATATATATATATATATATATATATATATATATATATATTTTTTTTTTTTTTTTTTTTTTTTTATTTTTTTGTTTTTATTAT